CACATATCCATCATTCTGAGGGACAACACCTATTGTGAATTACTAATTTCATTTAAGGTTTTCCCTTAGGTCCTCTGGTTATCTGCTCACAGGTTAACTAATTGCTTACACCTATGTTATTTGCACCTTTCAGTATTTTAAGGGCCTTGGTCCCTCTCAATATTATTTATTAATGAAAACAAGTTCAATTTCAAACCAACGAAAGGCAGCCTGGGAATGATTATAAAACGGGAATCTCATTCAGAAGTTTTGATGACATCTTAAACTGTGAGAGTAAATTCTGAATGTTTAATATTGTGATCTGAGCCTTGAAATTGGATTTGGAATCACTCCGGTGGTACTGATTGGTTCTATAATCAGTACTGTAACATTTTATTCAACTTTTGCTTCTGAAATTTTACCGACAACAAAATATCATTGCAACTGGTTAGTGTGATGTTTTCTTGATATCGTTAGTTAACATTTAATTTCTTGTTGTTTCAGTCACTACACCTACCAGTACTTACATGTAAAGCTGTTTGAGATATTGACATTATAAGTGTTACATCAAATGCAAGGATTATTATTACATTATGTGGAGTCCTGTAGCTCAGTGGCTAGAGCACTCGCTTTGCATAGTGAGAGACCTGAGTTCAATTCCAGGCAGAGGGCGAAACCTTGGGCAAGTTTCCTTACTCCACACAGAGCCTAATAATAATCCCTCCAAAACCAAAAACAATAATAAATTGGTCATTTTCAATCTACGACTGTTTGTGGGACATTGCTGTGCGCAATTGGCTGCCGCGTTCGCCACAAATATACAGTCAATTCACTTTACAGTGTGTTCTGTGAAGCGCTTTGGTACGTCCTCCCGACGTGAAAAGCGCTATATCAAATGCAAGGATTATTATTATTATTATTATTATATTTGGTGGGTGATGGTGTCCATAGAATTACTAAGAACAAAGGCAACATCACTTTGCGCACAGCTTCCAGTAAGCACATACCTTCCCCTGTTTCTAATCAGTCTGTTGACTTTCCTTTAACAATAGTTATTATACAACCCAAACAGTTCATCAAGAAAACGAGTCAATTCATCAATCCAGTTAGACGATTAGCTAAAAATAGGCTGTTCAGGGCAGGCCAATGCATTCCTGAACCAATACCTACCAGCATCCCCATAACAGTCTATTATTTATTAACACAGAAGTCATGGAGAACCTGGTACAGGGCTGGCTGCAGGTGTAACAAACTGCCTAATTCCATTACAGTATTTCAGAGGGGAAATTAGGTTGAAGGCATTAAATCACTACATGGCTCTGTGTTGCTGCCATTCCTGATTCTGAAAATGACAATATCTTTGTGGCACATTCAGAACTTAGATCTCATTATTTATAAAGATCCAATGGTGCTCATTCCTCGTGCGCAAAACCAACCCTTATTAATCCTGTGGTGTAATTTTCATACAGTAATGGACACCTAGGTACGCAGTGTTCTTAGCAAACTGCAGCCGGGCTACGCAATTGACAAAGATAATTAAAAAAAGAGTATATCTATCTTCTAGCCAATCTTAAGATTAGTGTGACATTAGTGAAGCCGATTATTCAATCATTCTTTGATGAACTCTAGCTATGGAATAATATTGCTGGCTAAGGAATTCCATTTAAAAATGTATTGTGAGCTGCTGTTTAAAGTGTGTTTGAATTAAGGTCCAATATGTAATGATTTCTAATTGGATTCCTTAATGATTAAGTAATTGGAAATACATCAGGCTCGTCATGCAGTCTTGCAGAAACTTTCATCTGAAAGCAGGTCGCGTCAGAGCAGAGTTCCTGCAACTCACATAAATTTTCTTATTCTTTCTGTTAGAAATTGTCATATCTTTTTATTAAAAGTTCTGATCACCAGGCTGAAGTCATGAACTCTTCCCATGATGTTGACAGCAAGGACATTATGTGTTTAGGTGCATGGTCCTGTGACACTGTTATTTAATATCAGGGAAACATAAAACAAAAATGTTCCTGGGGCTTTTAAGTAGCAGGCAGATATAGGAAAGATGGGCTGCCACAGAAAATCTCTCCCATCACCAGGTCAGACAGCTTGGAACAAGATGATACATATCTGAAAAGTGCAAGTATTCAGAGTTGGGAGATAGGGTAGATGACTAGAATTGGTTTCAGACAGATATCTTTGCTAGGGCTAGTCAGCCAGTCAATACCACTGGAAAATATAGATCCATCTTTTCTGTGCTTGTCAGCCAGGGAATGCAGGCTCACTCTTCACTACAAGTGCAATCTCAATCTATCTGATGCTGTATCAACTCTGCTGCTCAACCACTAACAGGAGCATTAGCTTCAGCGGCAGTCTTATAAGGTAAACTAGGCGATGCTACTTCTAGAAATGAGGAAAACCTTCTCTGGGGTTGGGTTTCTGAACATTTCTGGAGAAGGTGTTCCAATTGCAAGAGTGCATCATACTCTGTCCATTCAGACCTCCTGAATGATCTGATGTGAGCCCCCAAATACAAATTGAGGCACAACAAAGGGAGAGTAATGATCAGAACTGATTCGCACACACAGGAAATGAGGTTAGTTAGGTTCAAGACCATCGTCAAGATTTTGAGTTTATACTCCAGGCTGAAACTCCAGTGCAGTGTTGGGTGTGCACTATTTTGTCAGAGGTCCTTCAGATGAAACATTAAACTGAGGTCCCATCTATTTATTCAGGGGGATGTTAAAAGTCCTAAGGCACGATTTGACACGAGAAGGGAGCTTTTTTTCCCATGTCCTGCCCAATAATTGTTCAAATTAATTTGATCATTCACTTCATGGCTCTTTGTGGGACATTGCTGTGCTTAAATTGGCTGATGCATTTGTTTACAGTACATTGAGGTGTCCTCCTGGCATGAAATGCAAGGATTATTATTTTTCAATAATCTCTGCCAATGGTTATTTGTATACATTTATAATCCTGTCCGGTACAAGATCCTAACATTTTCTTTACTTGCAATAGTGTTTTTTGTAGCGTGCATCATTGTGCATTACAAAAGGAAATAGTATCACAGTTTAAAATTGAATACTCTGCCTTATGGTCAGTCAGCCTTCAATCTGCCTTGAGACTGATCTTGTGTCTCCTCAAACTGATTTTCATAGGTGAGGCAGTTGGAGTTTATTTAACCTTGTAAATTTAGTAATGCAAAATTAAATTATCAAATGGCTCACATCAATCCACTTTTATTGTGTGTATTAAGTTTGTGATTTTTTAAACATGGTTTTAGTTTTGCGAGTGCCTATTTTTACAACTGGACTGCACTGTGACATAGTTATATAATTTAAAATGGCTGCAACTTCATTATATATGGTACCTGAAAACACCCCAAATAGGTTTCTAAATTTTAAATATTCCCATTTAAATCAGTTCAGCAGAAATCATTTGTTTGATAACGCTCTAACAAGATGTGCCATTATGTTGATTAATGGACTTCATACATGAATTAATATGCTAATCATATGTAAAGATACCAAACTTATTTTCCATTAAGCTGATTTCATTAGTGTTGCCAAAATAATAATAATCCTTGCATTTGATATAGCTCCTTATCATGTTGTTGATGCATCCCAAAGCGCTTCATAGAATATACTGTAAAGTGAATTGACTGTATATTTTGTGGGCAAAACGCAGCAGCCAATTGCACACAGAATTTAACTATCAGTGCTTTATTACAGCTGCCTATTTTAAATATACAATAGGTACACTGTGTATAAAATCAATATTCTTTCACCCCACCTCAATTGTATAGATGTCCGACAATGATCAGGCGCAGGTTTCCTGCCGATTTGCTTGCTCTACTCCTGTTCAGATCAGCAAAATGATCAAAGACCAGCAAACAAATCTGTGACCTCTGGACTATGTAGTTCATTGCTTTTTATCCTCCAGGCTGTCAGGGAATCCTTAATGTTTAATGCAGATCCATTAAGTGCATAATCCAGTGAATTAAAGCAGAAATGTTAATGTCTGCATTTACTCAATGGACAACTTGAGACCTGCCTCAGCTCGTCCCTGGCAAGAAACATGGAGGTTACAAACCAGTGGTCGTCATTGATTCCAGTTGCCTTTAGACTCTAGATAGATTAAGATCAGGTATCTCATCTATCTTATCAGGGTTACCTGCAAAGGCAGCATTAGGGAATGGCTTGCCAGAAACCGTGATTGGAACCTAAAGATGAGAAGAGTGGAAAGCATCTAACAAATCTATTGCCTAATATGCTGAAATAGTTCAACACGCAGAATCACCAGTGGAAGAATGATGAATATCTTCCTCCTGAGCTGCAACCATTCTCAGCACAGTTGGAAGTTAGGTTAGATTTTAAGGCACACAGGGTCCCAAGGAATTTGCTCTATTTGCAGAGACTGCTGCTCCAAGGTGCAAAGGTTTAGATTAATAAATAACTTGAATTTGTAATTTCATGCCTTCCATGTAAAAAACAAAAGTCTCAAAGCAATTTACTAAATACAGATCGATAAGAAATGAAGTGACTATTATGTAGGCAAACGTCTGCGCCAGTAACATCCCACAAGTTAAATTAAAATTGAAGAAAAAGAGGAAGATTGGAAGTTTGCTGTTAATTTCAGCACTGCTGTTAACAGGGAATTCTCAATATGAATACACAGAACTCTTATTTCCACTCCTTGTGAGTGGACGGTCCCATCATGGCTTCTAGAACAGCCTGGTTGGTCAGCGAGAACAGTACAACTAGCAGGAGATTGATGCTAAATTTAAATTCTATAACACCAGCATTTCGAAACATTTTAACAGGAACATTCTGTTGTGGCCACTTCTCAAACTGCACTCTTAGAATATCAGTACATTTATTCCGGCAGTGAAAACCATTCCTGCTAAAAATGCTATTGTGCAAGTGATCGGGATGTTAAATTTGCAATTTTGGGCATTGAAATGAACGCTTTGGGCTTGGCTAACCACTCAATATTTAGATACAAATGACTTTGCCTTTGTTGTGCAGGTGCTGGGGATGTACCTCCCATTCTGCGGGATTGCGATTTCGAACGCTCAGCTGTTTGCTGCTTCTAGAAAGGAGTACGACCGAAGCAGAGTAAGTAAACGCCCCTCAGAGAGTCCACGGATTTAATTCAGAGAAGACGGATTCGTCTCTGTCAGACCTTCACCACTTCTAATTTTTAGCCACTTAATAGATGGTGTTTGAAATCATGGATGGTTGAAGAAGAAAGCATCGATGTATTTACGAACAAACTTGATGCATACAAGAGAGGGTGAGGAATAGAGAGGCATGGATGAGGGGATTAGGAGGGGTGGAGGCTCATGTGGAATGTAAACATTGGCATGTCATTGGGCCAAATTCTTCATGTGAATCATCAGTTCGTCGATGGCTCCACTGATTTCTCCTCTGACTTTAAAGCAAATGTATGTTAGTCTGGGAATCCAGTTGAGCAGCAGGTCTGAACCTCTGGGCATTACTACTACACACCATTGCACCATCACACTGACTCTGGTTCTTATTCTTAAAATATGACCACAATGTCAGACAGTTCACTAAAGCACTGGTAGAACACAGTCAACATCGTAGGAATTTTAAGTGCATTCCATTTTTGGTGAGAAACTGTAAAAGTACATGATTCAGGAAGGAATTCAAAGAAATCCAATAAGGCGACATGCAATAAACAAATCAAACAGATTCGGAGAAATTAAGGTCAACATGAAACGTACTTTGGATTATTTAAGGACTTGGCAAAAGATTGTGATAAACATTGGGACCTGAGATGAAGTTTTAAACTGGGCAATGACTGAACTAGATAATAGAACACAAGGATCATCATCAGAGGTGATATTCTGACCAGAAGCTGTGACTGGTGAGATCCCCTAGATATCAGTCACAGAACCCTTCTGGTCATAATATTATGTTGGTCTCGGGAAATATTGGAAGTAGACTGAATGAGGTTTATAAAAGAAACACAGAGGTTGTAGGGAACACACAGCAGGTCGGGCAGAATCCATGGAGAAAGGAATGTTTTTGACCCGCCCAACGATCTCTGTTTTTGTTTCAGATTTCCAGCAAATGCAGTATTTTGCATTTTATGAATGAGGTTTATGGTTGATATGAAATCATTTAAGAAAGGGAGATGGGAATTATTCGGAGACCTTCAACTACTTACTAACTGAGCAGATGAATTGCTCTTTGTGCAAACAGTCAGGTTTCAGTTTTATCAGGGAGAGAACATGAGCTTTGCAGTACAAATGGAGCAGAGAAAGGTCTATGTAGATGCTGAATATTGACCTAATGGCTGATTACATTTGTTCAATCCTACCTTCTTATTCTTTTATAGTGTTGAAAGTGAGCAAATTGTTCCTTCTTAAAATGCAAAACTGCTTTAAGTTTCTCATGTGGCTAAAAAAAACTTTTCGCCCCATTTTTCAGTGATTGAGATTTTTCACTCCTCAGCTATTTCCCCTTAGAAATAGATATACCACTGCTAAAGTCTTGTGTTTTATCCCAATTCCCTCAACCAAGGCTCTGCTGGAAGTTGTCAACGACTTGTTTGAAGAGCAGACAGACTTGGAGAAAATCGTTCGGACGATAATGCATCGCGCCCAGACACTGCTGAAATGTGAGCGCTGTTCTGTGCTGCTCCTCGAAGACATTGAATCACCGGTATGTCAGCTTAAAAAGCCGCAAGGGGAAAAGCTAACACAACTTTAGAGGGAACAACCGAACGTTTCATGTCTGCAGAAAGCTACTCTAAACGTAAAAAAAAACTCCTTGGAATTCATGGAATAAATGCGATTGGGATCATCTAATGGTTTAGACCTTAAGACACCTCTTCGAATTCAAAAGCATTTTCCATATCATGGTTATAGTTTACAATTTAGCCATTAAAGCCAAATCCATATCATTAATGATTTCAAGCTTGATTTCATAAATCAAAGTGTATAACGAAGGGAGGCTTCATCAACCTAAGAAGAACAGACAACCCCAACAACCTGCAGTTGTGCAGGGAACTGTGTTCACAATGTGGCTAGAGCCCAAGTTTTCTTTGTTCTCGTTGGCCCCATAGAGCCCTACACTTCCTTTGTGCAATCTCAGAGTAAGAAAGATCGGGAGACAAATTGATTTACAGCTTTATACCCCTCTCAGGTACAGTGCAAGATCCTCTAGGGTGAACTTGTGCCTTAGCTCGTCAACACATTACCAGACCCCCAAGTCTGTTACAATACAATCACATCTATTTGACAATACCTTAGTAGGAATGAATTTCGATGAGCCTTACTAGTTCCACAAATGGCCTTCCAGTTAATATTTTAATCTCTGTAATGGTATCCGTAAAACTATCAATCTAAATGTATTGGCTCTCGTATCTCATTATTAGCTTAATTTATTTCCTTTCCATTTGCTTTGTACAGTATGCTTGGTTCTGATTTGGGAATGCCAAGTGAAGAGTTTCGCTGTACAGGTTCACCTGCACAGAATAAACAGATGCTTTCTGCTGCACATTGTGACTAACACTTTCTCATAAATATTTTATGACAGGTGGTGAAGTTTACAAAATCCTTTGAGCTCCTGTCACCCAAATGCAGTGCTGATGCCGAAAGCAGGTAATGGTAATGATATTTAATGGGTACACAGTTTAGCGTAGATCTTGGGGCAAGTTAAAACAATGGACTGAAATGAAGTTGGTGAGTCTATTGTATACCACAAGAGCAATACTCGAATGGAACATGAATAATCTCGAGAGTGGCTTAATGGTTAATCTAACATATTATTGGTTATTAATTTACAGTTCCTGATATTTTGCAGTTTTTTGGTGTTAAGGAACATTTGACTTCTCCATGGAGGTTATAATGATGTTAAATTACAATTGCAGGTTGTCAAAAATAATTGCAGCAGAGAAATTTCATGTAAAACTATTCTAAACTTATCCAATCACCTAGATTTATCCTCCAAAGTAGATTTCCATAATACCAAATTTCGCAAATCACAAGACCACAAGAGAGTTTTGTGATCCACAGTGCTAAGTATGTTTGCTCCTCAACCACACACACTTATGTAAAGCAGATACACAAAATTAGCATTTTTTTAAAAATCAAAATTGTAATTAGGAATTTTTTTATTCTTTGGAGCATTTCGTGATTTTTTTTATTGTCACTCAGTAGGTACTTTGCTTCTTGGTAAAACCTCAGAGCGTTTGATCTCTTTTTAACTACTTTGCTTCCTTTGGTGACAAAGAAAATAATGAATCGATTCAAGCTGCTTTGCAAAACCTTGAAATCCAAATACACTCGCGTTTCACTTTTGTTTACAAGTACAAAAGGCAAACTAACTGTGGGAGAATTGTTTTCAGGCTCTCTTTTGCCAATGTTAAGGCCAATACTTTCTTTTTTTCAAGAACCGCTTCATAAAAATTTTCAATCATTGGCAAACCTTGAGAAAATCTCACAAAATTCTCTCTTTTTGCAAGAATGTTTGCAAAAGTGAGCTGCACTTCTGAAAAATAAAATGGAAGTGTGCAATTTCAAATTTACTGAAAGTTCATCCAAAATCCAGCACCAAAGTGCAGCAGGAATTCATGGGCATTACTAGAACCTTTGATAGATCTGGCATCCTCGGCTCATTGACAAACTGCTTTCTTGTGCAGTACTATACTTGCTGAACTACACAGTGACTTACGCAAATGAGGCCATTCATCTTATTACGTCCACATCAAAGTCTCTCATGTAAACTATGTTCGGCCCCACAAAGGCTACAAGCACTTAAACCAGACACTTAAGCCATAGGTATGTGAGGAACACCAGAGGAGGACACTCTCTAATAGTCCAAAAGGTTCAAAAGGACTAATAACAACAAATTACATTTGTTTAGCGCCTTTCACGTGAGCAGGACTTCTCAAATCACTGGACAGTCAGGGAGCTGTACCCGATATAGAAGCAAAGCTTCCCACACAGCCTCTGTCTGTTGACCACTCCCAGACAGAATCAGCAGCTTGAATTGTAAGAAACCTCTGTTTTGATGTATGCCTTGCTTTACTACGTGTAAGCATAAAAGGCAGGGTTAGCCATTGCTTGCTGTACTTTGGATGCTTGCAGCACACATTTTGCTATGAGAAATTGGAACTCATTGGAGAGTATATTTCCCACAGGATGAATTGATGTAACATATGACCAGTTGTTCCTTTGCTGAACCACACTGTTATTCAATCTTATATTGTTTGATCTGTCTGTACTATAAAATGGTCAGGACTATTTCAATAGTATTCTACCTCAGAAGTATTTTTCTAATTATTTCTTTAACAAACGTAGCAATATTTCCATTATGTTTTCCGTTCTAATGAGGGCTGGATGATTTGTGTACTCAACTCGGTAGCAGGACCTTTGGAGAAAGCAGTAAATAGTTGCAACATAGGAATCTGCTGGCATCATTTTACACACGTCTTCACACTTATAATTAAATTCATAAATCTGAAACTGGTCAACTAATCTTTAGGAGTATACATTTAAGGTAAAAATGATTTGCGTTGAGAGGAAGAATGGGTCAGTGCAGGAAATAAATACTCGCTTGAAGTGTTTATTGTGAAAACCTGTCTGTTGGCAAAACAGCAGGAATTGTTCTTAACCTTGGCATGTCATTTGCTTCTGGCTGTTGAAAGTTCTACTCACGTTGCAATGAAATGTAGGGTTTTTTCAATAATCTTGCTTTTTAAACTAAGTGCGACATTTCAAAACATAGTGTACAAATACTGGATTGGTGTCAAGAAATTGATAGTCTATTAAATTAAATTGTCCACTCTATATCTGTTATTCATTCTGTGACAGAATAGAATGATCAGCAACTGCATTTTAGTTTTAGTTAAGAATATAGACATTCCCTTGTGTTTTCATGGCATGCTCAACATTTCTGTAACTCAGTTGATCGATTGTGCAACATTTGCAAATGAACTACGATGAATATCTGACTATTTCAAGCGGTTTTGAATTTGCGTAATTGTTTCTTTTTATGTCCCTCACAAAAGCTTAAAAGACAGCATAGAAAAATCATTGTATTCAGACTGGCTAATTAACAACAGCATCGCTGAACTTGTAGCTTCCACTGGTCTTCCAGTGAATATCGGTGATGCATATCAGACCCACGGTTTGATGCAGAAGTGAGTGACTCTTTAATTAGCATTGATGCAACTTTCCTTCAAAATGGTTTCTCTCCAGACACGTACTTATACATTCATTCCTCGATCTAAAATTCAAATTGTAACTAGATTTTATATGAATAATGACGCACACGGTCATCAATGCAGTCCCACAGGTTATAGGTCTGATCCATTATTTTGTAATTGTAGATTTGTCGTCCTTTAAACATTATTTTTAAGTTCCACTTTTATCTTTTATTACTATCAGTTCTCAATATATTAATTATTTCTTATCCCAGAATTAAACCCGTATGCAATTGACTGGTGGATTTAGGTTAACAAGCATTAAAATGCAAAGCAAAAGTTGTATTCCTTAAGTGTAATTTCCTGACAATGCAGAGCAATAGCCAGTTCATTAGGGACAAAGGACATAATTATATGATCTTATGACACCCAAAGGCCCTCATTCCGACTTGGTCTTAGCCGTAAAACTATTGTAGTCAAATTCAAAATTCTCGAACGTTGGAGAACAGTCTGAAACGTAACCTTAACTTAGAAGCTGATTGCCTGCGGTTTTTCAATGATTTTAAGGCTAAAACGACGCAAATGTTTGTCCCTCAACACTGTTGCATTAGCACATGAGATCTTTGCAAAAATGCCATTTTAGAAATGTTTTCAAAATGGAAATCTACGTACATAAGCTTGCCCTTTGAGGCCACTCTGGAATGATTCAAAACCAGCGTGACTATAACAATCACAGCAAGCTTGCATTCTGCCAACCTGGACTCTTCATGGGAACTTCCTACTTGTAAGTTACTAACTGCACATGACACTGCTTTAAAGCAAAGAGATGGAATTACAAAAGGTGAGATGGTATAACACTTCACCAATTATATGGAGTATTTTAGCAGGGTTATTCTCACTTTGAGGGTACCTTCTATTCTTTCCCCATTGTTCACCCTCTTTCTCCCCAGGACAAAAAACTACCCGTGTGAACAGCAGATGTAGACATGCTTCCATATCCACTTAATGTTGTTCTAAACGAGCCACTGGGAGGAGTGCTAGAGCAATCCTGAGTCCTTCCAGTTCTCCTTCCTTTCCTGTGGAGAAAGATCAGACCTCTCATCATCACTCACCCTACATCCACCCCAAGCACAAGATGTGAATCAGATCTTTTAGCCTTCTCTCTGAAGCATATTATCAGAAAAGTGCACAGCTTGTATTTTGCAAACAGCGCTACTTTAGTGTTTTTGTTTTAAATCACAGCTTAATTAAATAATTCTAAGCCATCACGCTTAATTTTATTTGTTTTTGCAATGTTTTATGATTGGGAGTGTTGTTAAAAAAACAAACGAGAGAGGAATCATGTTCTGAACGTCATCCATTCAAATTTACAAGTGGATAGATTTTGTTAGGTCAGGGTGTCAAGGGATATGGGGCAAAGGCAGGTAGTTGGAGTTGAGGTACAGATCAGCCATGATCCAATAGAATGACGGAACAGGCTTGAGAGGCTGAATGACCTACTCTTGTTTCTTTTGTAATGGTTTGCTGAACTGGAAGCAATACCAATTCAAGGGACTGAATTGCCTAGTGCGGATTGATCTGGACTACAATGGAGCTACAGCAGCCCCTGTAACAATCGATCCACATTATTCCCAACACAAGGAATCCTCATCCTTAGTTTTGCCATTTCCAGCCGCAGCTCCACGGCAATGTCAGGGTAGATCACTCAGTGGAGCTGCTTAGTGAGCAGAAACCAACGTCATTGCAACCACCCACTCACTGGTTTACCATTCAGGGAGAAGGGCAGACTTCTGCGTTCTGATTCCTATAATTAGGTCTCTTTTTACCACAACAGGGTCCACACTGAAACGGAATAAAAATTAAAGGTCGGACATATGATTTTAAATTAAATTGACCCCTTTTTCACACACGACAAACTATCGAAAGATATTTGTACCAAAAAATAAATTAACTACAGAGCTGTTCTTCTTTAACAGTTCCAGCGAGGGTGTGATACAAGCCTACAAAAAAGGATATGCGCTTTGACCTCTAGGTTGCAGTGATCCTATGCACAATTCGTCATGAGATCTGCACAGTGCATATGCAGTAAAAAAGGAAGCCTCAATGCAAAGTGCGATTCAAGAATATTACACTAAATAGGATTGCTGAAAGGTTTTTGCACATTGTCTGGTGTTATAGTATCAATCTTTACTGAACCATACTTCACCTGGTTGACAAACATCTACAATTCAGTTAAGCTCTCACTCATCAGCATTCATTTCAGAATTAATCCCCAAATTACTTCAGATATCTAAATACATTGTTTAATTACACTGCTTTGTATTTTCATTTAGGCTGATCAGATTTCGGGTTTTCATATCCGATCAGTCCTGTGTGTACCAATATGGAACAGTACGCACCAGATCATTGGTATGTTAAAAATTTTTTACACTTCAGTTTATTTCACCATTGTTTGATGATATGTCGTTGGATTTCTTTTTGTCTGGAGCAACCCAATGGCATAAATGGTACAAAAGGTATAAAGAGCACCCGGCAGAAAGTGAGTCTCAATTCTTGAACCTAAGCATTCTCTGTCACACATGATGCTCTGGCTCATGCAACTGATCTTAAAGCTGCTGGGTTGAGTGGCATGCGGGTGGAAAAAAAAACAAGCACTTTGCCTTCCCTTAAATCATACTTTTTACTGACTGATCATGGCCAGCACCAAGGAGGTGTGGGTGTTACTTTGTGACATGGACTCTACCACTCTCCTACTGAAGGAGAACGTTTACTAGTGATCAGCAGGCCCGGAAATCACAAAGGTGGATCTCCAGAGTTAGCACACCTGAGCTGCAATTGCCATCAACGCCCACCAGCCTAGGAAAGGATACAATCAGCTTGCGTTCAGAGACCGGCACAAAATCCAATGCCCCCTCTGCTGGGAAGTGTGCTTATGTGAACATCAAGTTAAGATAGAATTGCACGCTGAGATGAACAACAAAAACAACAATTTACATTTGTGTAGCGCCTTTCACGTCGGGAGGACGTCCCAAGGCGCTGATATCCACAACCAGGCATTCAGACCTTCCTTCAGGAGAGGAAATCAAAGAGAAGATGAAAATATTTCTAATCAAACTCTTTTTTGGATGAATTATTTGGAGATGATTTATCTGACGACTTCATAAAGCAATGTCAGGAATATCGTGAACTCCTTCTAACGCTAAAAATCTTCTCTGCAGGTGTGGCTCAGGTCCTTAACAGGATTGATGGGAAACCCTTTGATGATGCTGATCAACGACTCTTTGAGGTGAAAGAAACGTCACCTCATTGTCAGAGGAGTCGCACATTTCACAGCATTATATTTTTTGACCGTCTTTAGATTAAATCTATGGCAATTTAGCGAGGCTTCGCTTGTGAATCTTTGTGTTGTTTACACTGCACTGTTCATCACCAATCACTCTAGATCTTACCTGGAAGAAGTGATTTAGGAGCAATGTAATCAACAACATTGAATTGCAAAAAATTGGTATAAATTAAATTAAATCCAATGGATGGCCCAAGAGTTGTCAAGGGATTATTTTTAGTATATTAAAAAGCCAGTTACAGGTTCAACATTTTAATGCGTTATCGTGCACAGAACTCCAATGATATATATTTTCTAAACAAAAAACCCGATCAATGTCAAGGGTTGTGAAGTGTGAAATATGAATTGGGTTTCTTGGACCACAGCAATCTACTACTGCTAGATGTTACCCTGCGTTGTTGTTGCTGTATTATGCAAGTGAGATACAGTAATAGCATGAAGCAACACATAGGCAATTTGCTTTGATAATGAGTGGTTTGTTTTCTAATCAGGCTGGTCATCAGTGCAAGTCTCAGTTGCATTTACTCATGTCCATATAATACACTGCACAGCAGTTTGCAAGTGATAAGACTAAAGAATTTTAACTGTATGAAATAAGAAAGTGGGGGAGGGAAGAAACACAGATAGCACTTCATTTATGAGTTTGCAATAAAGCAAAAGCAGGAATTAATAATTAATGAAGCTGGACCATCCCAAATGGAACATATCAAATCAAACTTATTGCAAAACATTTACACGCATTTGCAACCACAGTGAAACATTTAGGTTGTAATATTTTAGCGATGGTATAAATATAATAGAACTCTTATCAGCTCATTACCATCATATAATATTATTGTGTCAAAAACACCAGATGTGAAACAATAATGAGTTGCTGGGTCATCTAGAACCATCAAATAGTTTTATTACAACAGTACATTTGCACTGAAAATGAAGTACAACTTTCCTTCCTAGTTCAGAATAATGAACTAAATGAGAACTGTAGAAGAATCAGATTAAAAAGATTGGGTTCAGATGAGAAAACCAAGTGGGTACAAACATGTTAAATGTTTCATAACCGCAGATTATTCTAAATTATAACTCGTGTTACACAACATCAAATATTTATCAACTACTTTTTTTATTGTGAATATTTCAGGTTTGCTCCCCATGGACACATCTGCGGGTTACTGAAATATGAGTTTTGTTGGTGATTTAGCAACATTTTATTACAATACCTTTATTACTTAGACGTTGCTATTAATCTTGTTTAAGAGCTAGATTTTCAGCAGTGTGAACCATAAAACATAAGGAGCTATTATAATCTGTTTTCCAAAATATAATAATCTTACAAGATGATGTGGTTTCTATGTTGAAAATATAAAGGAAATAATCTGTGTTTCAGCTTCATTGTTTGCGTTAAATAGAAAGCTGTTCAACTGAATAAATAGACCTTGCATTTGATATAGCACCTTCTCATATTGAAATGTTTCAAAGCATTTCACAGAGTTTTTGTAAAGTGTAATCACTGTGTATTTGTAAGCAAATAGGGCAACCCAATTTGTGAGCAGCAATGACCCACAAACAGTCAGGAGGCAATTTAGCTGGTGAATTGCTGGTCAGGATATCAAACATCCAGCTGAACAGACAGACATAATAATAATCCTTGTATTTGATAAAGTGCCTTATCACATTGTTAAGACGTCTCAAAGCACTTCATGGAATACACTGTAAAGTGAATTGACTGTGTAAATACTCTAAGTTTTAGTGCTATAAAATAAAGTGGTAGGTGCTCGAACTTAAAATGTGAATTTGTTAATCTTTGTTGCAGGCTTTTGTTATTTTCTGTGGCCTCGGCATCAACAACACAATAATGTACAACCAAGTGAAAAAATCATGGGCCAAGCAGTCGGTAGCTCTTGACGTGAGTATCAGCTGGACTCAATACGGCGTTTTCAACAGCTTTCACGTGATGATGCTGCCTGCCATAATTCCAAATTTAACCAAATTGGGTTCATTTAAAATGGGTTCACCAGACCACCTCATTGATTGAAAAGGAATAGAGAGCGTGCGTGAAGAAAGCAATGCATTGTCAGAGATCAATAATTTACACTCTACACATGTGGCTTCACAGCCCATGGGATATTTGAGAGAAACCAGGTTGATCTCATCAGCCAGCACATCCAGTTTTCAGTTTCCAGCTGACGTCCCTTTCCTGCGTTAACAGTAAGAGCTTTCTCGAGTATCTTCCCTCCAGCTTCCCTTAAGTAAGAGAATGAGAATATGATGGTAACTAGGGCAAAATGTAGTAAGAGCTCACACTACCAGTGGGAAAAAAACAAAAGATAGTCAAAATGATTTATATTTTTTTTAAAAAAGCACCTACTTTGGTTGAGCAATGTGGCTCTGCAGCAAATGTATCTCACCAGGCAGAGCTTGGCAATCTGATGCTTATCTGGATGATTCACTCCACAATCGTGCTCTCTGATCTTTTGTGAGATACAGGTCAAAGGGCTAATGTTTTGATGACTTACACTGAAGTCCCTGCCCATCAAAAGGGAAAGTTCAAAAAAAGCCAGTTGCGAGGAAACTTCCGAGTCGGAAAAAGATGAATTGAACATTGGGAAATTTGGCATTAGTTTGCTAGTGATGTGGATTAATCCGAATAACTCTTCCCCCTCATTTGATGACAACATTCTGGTGGCCTTGACCTTATTTTCTTACTTTAAAGGACTTATCTTGCACGACCAAGAATGACGAGCTTTGCCACTGAACTTTCTCAGTGTGTAATTATTTTTGTCTATTTTATTCATGTCTTAAAACACAGATTCTTAGGAATATAAAAGTCAAATGCTGTACTCTTAATTTAAGTGGTTGCATTTCAGAGGCTGGTAGAATTCATGATAAAAGTTGACAGGTACCTTTTGGAATATTATATTGCAAGTGACCTATATTTTATGATAATTGATTCACGCTGATTTTTTCATGGAGAATGTTGGAAAGATTTTAATGCAAGTCTTAATTTTAGCACCTTCTCTATTCTAGGTCCTCTCCTATCATGCCACATGTTTGAAATCTGAAGTGGACAAATTTAAGGTAAGAGGCACAACACATAAATTCCTACATGACCTACATGAACTTTCTTATAAGGTTCTTATACATTACACTGTGTTCTGCAATATTTACTATTGAAAAGTGCTCATTATAATGCAAATGTTTGGCTGGCCTTCCAGAAATCATTTATAATGAGACAACAATGCAATTGCAGTAAGTATAATTCTGCAGGCAGGTTTGCTGCAATAATAATGTGCGTCTTGTAACTTTTTAATTGTTTGTTTTCATCATTAAAAGCAAAAATTATTAGTGCACATCACATTTCTAAAGGTATAGAAACGAGACAGAATAGAAGTACTGTATATAGATTAAAAAGACACATCATTCATTCCTTAGATCCTAAGTTCGTAAATTCACTGAAATGCCTGTTACAATAATAATTTATAAAGCATCTTTCACATCAGGAGGACATCTCAGAATGTTTCACATATCTGTCTGGAAGTCTGGGTGGCAAGCAAAGGGGCAGAAAGTGCAGAAAAAATATAGGTCTTCAGGCAGGTTTTGAGGTTGGGCAAGGAGGAGGGATATAGTTCTAGAGATTAGGTTACCCACAGTTTTCTGATATAATGCCGAATGGTCTTCGGGAATCTCTGTGCATTGAACGTATGATGTTAAATGTTGAAGGATGTTCATTACCAGCAGCCATCTCACATACGCTGTCATCTGATGTTCACACTGTGCAGACATCTATCCTCAAACAGAACCAAGGGTGAGTTCATACAAAATCACAGACAGCCAGAAGCTGAATTTCAGAATGACTGAGTAGAAGGTCTCTAATTAGCTTTATGTATACATGTGAACTCCTGATATTAACAGATGCACACAACATTCCTATGGTTAGAACATTAATATCTTGGATCTCCTTGAACTGGCAGGCGGTGTAGTAAGTTAGAGCATAAATATCTGGTGCTGGTTCCAATCCCCCATATGTGAACTCAGCTATACTGTGTCATGTTTGGAAGAAAGGAGGGTGGGAAGAGATCTGAAGCCGTTTTCACATACCTCCCAGCCAACAGCTTGAACCGAATGCTACAAAAGGCATGTGAGTAAACAAGATACACAACAGAGAAGACTTGAGATTCATATTCTCAGCAAAAAAACACACAAAAATTGCCTGGGAAGCATAACTTCACAAAATTAATACTTTATTATGAAAATCAAAGTAAATCAGGTGGACATTTGTAAATTAACACATAGAAGTGTTAATTTCCGAGTTGTTTTTTTTCCCTTCCTCCAACATAAACAGTTAAATATAAGTTATGTTCAAGGCTGAACTGTAGTGTTAAGAATTGAACGGCATTTCTAAACCTCAAAAGTAAAGAAGAGTCATTCAACTCTCTGGCTTTTTGACTGGATGAAGCTTTACTTGGAGCAACTCTATACCCATACCCACCTATGTGTGTGCCACGAAGGGCTTTTGTTTACCAATTTGAATACTTAGTGTTTAATGTGAGCTGAAACATGTTACCTGAACAGATTTGTTGGTTACACAATCTTGAGTGTCACACAGTGTACATTACCTAGATGTGGAGTGCTTCCTGGTAACACAACCGGATCAGTAAATCTCTTTGGAATCCTTTATATATTGACAGAATGTAAAACAATTCTCTATTGATGTATGATCTGTGAATGAGCAACTAGTTCTTTTCAAAGAGATGGCTTAAGTGTGCAGCCCTAAGCAGTGCTGGCTTGGGTTAATATTTAATGAGGGGAATTAATGATTTATGTTGTTGTGAATATTTCTTCTTTCATAATAGAAGCTCATGTAGAAGCTTGGTGACAAAAGACTAATGAATTAAAAGCAAGTTCACTGTGTGTTGGGTGTGCACCTTTTCTATTACCGAATTGCCTTATTGATAACAGCGGCAGCTTTGGTTTCAAGTAGATTGATCAGATCCCATTGCATCGTATTTCATGGAAAATATTATCTTGTGAATGATGACATTAGTTATTTTATTTAAAATTCAGACTCATTGTTGCTGAGAACACGTAAAGGCCAAAGCTCCACCTACTATTAGAGCATGATACTATTTTGGCTCAGAATTTAAGATGCATTAAATTAATAATTAAATAATGAAATTAAATAATTGAATAATTAAATCATTGCGGAAAATTCTTTAATTCAGTCTTAATTTAGGAAACTGTTTATCCGCAACTTTGGAAAAGGACAGTCTTTCGAATTCAAACTGAATTTAAGAATCTTTCATAATGAAGTACGGTCAGGAACATTGGATGTTCAATCCCAGATTCACATCAACTTCTTCCTGGAATTAGCAAGATTTCTACAAGTTGTATGTCTACATTTGGCCGGTACTGTGCCAGCAGTTGTATAACTACAGCCAGCATAACACTTAACATCTTTGGCTATTTTAATTTTACTACTATTTTACTTGCTATTATTTTTCTGATTATCTGTATGCGATCAAACATTCTAGATGTACTATGCTTCGAGTGATCTCTGTCTGTTTTTTCCCCTCTATTTTATTTATTGTCCCTTAATCCCATCATCTTCCTCACCCATCTGTACTCAAATCTTGCCTTCACAAACTCTTTCTCATCCTACGTGAAGGGAGGAAACCTTGTAGACAAACTGTGGCTTCTAGTCCAACTTCATGACGCTCTCTGAATGCCAACATTATGATATTTATTGCATGCCCTAGAAAGATGAGGTCAAGAGTCCTCAAACAGATAGGTCCTGTTGGAAACAACCCGAGTTATTTCAGTCTATTTCTGCATCAACATAAACACTGTAAATTGTCTAAGGTCTTAAAACAGAGACATTGGATCTCAGGGTAAGGCACAGCCTTGCAGATCTAAGAGCATATTAATAGATAGTGATTGACCAGCAGATCTATGCCTTGATGGTAGTTTGCTGCCAGATTTCTGCCAATACACATCAAGCTCTGGCACTAATAGTTGCTTTCTACATGCAAGCAATGATTTTAATTACCCGTGGGGATGGCTGGGGAGGAAAGCAATTATGGTAATAGCTTTTACAGTCTAGTCCATTACCAACACTAACAGGCTTATGCAGTGTCAAGACACCAAGTGTATTGCAACCAGACTGGGTTTAAAAGGCTGAAAGTCTGAATTTTATTCTGGATCACAAGTCTGCACTTAATTTGTTGCCAACAGTTAACCATCTTCAGATTTTCACTGGTCTTAATGCTGGAAATCTCAAATGATCGTACCGATATGTTTCGGGAAAATGCTAACTAAAAAATTTGAATGAGACAGCGTTTGAATTCTCCAAAAGGAATACTAGGTAAGGTGATAGGTTATGTAAGAGAGAAGAAAACCTGGAGAGACAATAACAAAATACAGGATAGGGCTCAAACAGTTTTATGCATCATTAATTCTAAAAGAGTCCACAGGGTGATTGACATTCAGGCAAAGAGAACACTTTCCACAAACCACGAGATCAGCATTCTCGTCTGTTGGGAGTGCTAAAAGCAGCCTTGCGATTATGTGTCCAGTACTGCGACACATCACAGATCTGAATATTGACTTAATTTAGCTAGAATTCCGCTCCATTCCAGGCTTTGCATCGCAAATAACCTTGAAAGGATGACAATTAATTTAATTCCTTCCGGGTTGCGCTTCTGAGAATTTCCTGAGCGCCCATCACTTTTGACAATTGCAAATGCAAAGATTCCTTGCTAATTTGGTTAGATTGGAGTATCAGCTCCAACTCACATTTGTATTAGTTTAAACGCAATTAAATAGTACATGGACACTGGAGGATAGAACAAAAGAATTAGAATGTTAATTGAAAAACATGTTACTGACCAGGCTCGAGTTATAATAATAAATAAATAATAATCCTTGTATTTCATATAGCGCTTTTCACATCTTCAAGACGTCTCAAAACGCTTCACAGAATATACTGTAAAGTGAATTGAGTGTATATTTGTGGGCGAAATGCGGCAGCCAATTGCGCACATCAGTGTCCCACAAACAGTCGTGGATTGAAGATGTAATTTTTTGTCTGGTTTTCGCTGCATCTTCCTGTAAAAGGACATTTTGCTCCGGCAAGGGTTTGGCATGTGGACAATCCATTTGACCTTGTCCAGATATTATTTGAAAGATGAGATGGAAATGATTTCACATTCTCACAGGCCACAGTAGAAGCAATAGTGAGTCCGATTGGCAAATAGGATTTACTGCGGTTATTCGATCATGTTGGCACATAAACTGTTGTTCTCACACTCGTGCAGCTACGAGACCATTGCTTCCTCAGCACTGCAGGACCTGCTCCAAGTCAACGACATTCTGTTGCAAGACACACGTCTTGCAGGAGATTATCTGAGTTATAAGAGCTCCCCTTAGACAGGGTGAGATGGTGGATGGAACACTGAAAAGGATGAGACTGTTAGATATTCAACTAACCCATACGAGTACAAAAATGTTTTGAAGTAAAACAATTTATAGTAAATTTGAGTTTAATAAAGTAGCCTTTCAAAAAATATGATCTATCTAATTTAGGGAAATTGGGATCGGAGTTAGAAAGGTTGCAAGTTCAAGCCCCATGTTGGGACTTGGAACTCACAGTCGAGGCTGGCACTTCAAATGCAGTGTTGTGGGAGGACTGCATTGTTGGAAATGTTAAAGATCTCATGGCACTATTCGAAAAGAGAAGGACTTTTCTCCTAGTGTCCTGCCAATGATCCCCAGATTTTATAAAACGGTCACTCACTTCATGACTCCTTGTGGGATATTGCTATGTGCAAATTAGCTGTTGTGTTCACTACAAATACAGTCACACATTTACAGAAAAAGCTCTGTAAAGCATTTTGTGACAATTGATGCGATAAGGCACTATACTGCAAATGCAAGGATTTTTTTCATAGATACAATATTTTAAATCTGACCTATTGCTGCAGCCACTTGTACCAATTCCAGTTAAATGGACTGAAGTGAACCGAGGTGTTCACAGATGAAATTATAGTGACTCAAAACAGTTAACTGCTGTACTGAAACATCTTTTTTTTAAAAAAAAGTCTGAATTAAAAGAGCACATTTTACATTGGCGGTAATCGAACATTTCAATGTGGTGTGCTGTTGTAAGCCAACACTCTGCACAGTTATCATTATGCATTAGTTTGTTAGTGCTCTAATGAACAAGGCTGCTGCCAAGTATTGAACAGTGCAGGAAGCCAGTTCTATTGCTAGTTAGTTTGGTGCAAGTGATTAATTACTCCATTGTAATAGATAGCTATTATTCTACTCTTGCACCAAAATGATTTCACAAACGAGCTTGAGATACCTTCCCAAATTAGATTAACATGCAAATTAGATTAACAGTCGTCAAAACAACACAGCAGAGCATCACTGAGAAGTGAACACAAATCTGATTTACACATTGTCGGTATGAAGACAACTGACACTTGAAGGAATGAGCATCAATAGGTCCTGCGACAATTTACCGACAGCCACAGTATCAGTTCATAGCCCACTGACCCAGACTATTCTGAGCTGTAGATATTTTGCCCAATTGTAAAGTTGTTTGGGAGCCCATGATTCTGTGTACAATGGTAGGCTTTTATAGACAGTATCTAGCATTAATTTAGAACAACAGCCTGTAAGATCCCTGTGGAAGCAAAACTATATCTTGCATTGAGACAAAGTGAAACTGGTACATAATAAAGTTGTGCGCATTTGCCATCTAAGGACCGCAGTGAAAATAAAGCAATTGACCCAGAATTTGGAAGCATTATATCCCTTGGTTATCTATCATCACATCTAGGACTCTGTTCCCACCTAACCAATATTCAACTATAAACAGATAGCTATTATTCTACTGTTGCACCAAAATGATTTCACAATCGAGCTTAAGATACCTTCCCAAATCAGCACAGCGCATGGCTCATTAAAATGCATCAGAAAGTGGGGAATGCAAATTTACACCTACATGAATTCATAATCCATGTGTTGTCAGCTTTTCCAGCAATAAACAAGACTGCTTAATTCATACCTCAATAGAAATTTCTGAAAATTTAACATACCCTCATTATTATGCTTTTTTTTCACTAACAAGGTAAGTAGATGCATTTACAAAAAAGTATTAATACACAAAATATTCCACTGAGAAGCACATTAATATTGCTGATAAAACTATTTCCATCTATGCTCAGTTTCTGTAGGTAAAAGCCAGAAACAAACACAGCTTGTTAGTCCTAAAAATCCCCACAATAGAGGGGACATCCATTTATGATGAATTATTATAGATTTGACAGTGGTGTAAAATTGGCGGTAAAAATATCTATTTACAACACAACCAACATGCGTTTATATAGCAACCTTCATGCACTGTAGCATGTGAGCGCTGAAAAGAACCTCAGCCCATTTAATTGATATTAGAAAGAAAATCAACTCGTCCAGAAACAAACAGGTGCACACGAGAGATTTTATATTTTTTTTAAGATTTGAACATTTTGAATTGACAAGAAACCAAATGTTGAGATTCACACAGAAACATTCACCTAACCCTCTGCGTTCATCGTCATCTATCTAAATCAAAGAGCACTTCTGCTTAAAGAACTTCCCACACACAAACTCACAACAGAAGGTAGTCTTCAAACATCCATTTATTCACATGATTGCTTTGAGTTCCTGAGGTTACACAGCTCCTTCCCTAACTCCCACCCCAGCACCATTACCCACTCCTCTCCTCTCTTCCCCTCCTCCCTCACCAGCTTCTTCACCTACTCTCCCGCCTGGCCTCCCTTGTGCTCCTAGTCATAGTATCTGCTCTATCCAGCCACCCCTGCCTGCTCATCATCCTGTACATAATGTGGCTCGAAATCCAAAATTACAAAATGATGTTATTTTAATTAAATACGCAAAGGGAATGAAATGTTTTTTTTAAATTGTCCAGAATATGAATATTACCAGTCAGTAGATCTATATTCGACGAATGTTTGGAGATTTGTGAGCAGTGAACTACAAATACAAGTTTAGAATTCACAGGCCTCTCAAAGGACTAGAGGTTTCTTTCATTTCCTTGTGGAATAGTGGACGTGTGGAAGAGACTTCCAACAAACACAGTTGATGCAGCGCTGATTAATTCTTTGTAAAAAGAAACTCAATAACGGCTGTGCTAAAGCAATATCGCTTCCAGCAGTGGAGTGATATAGAACATGAACCCTGAGTCACGCTTCCTGCTGTTAGCCCTATAGCTCAGCAACTGTACAGGGTTCTCATGGCCTGCGATTGAAGGGGTTAAATTCAGAACGAATCTACGCAAACACTAATTCAATGAGCGAATAGTGAACATGTGGAACAGGCTCCCCAGGGAGACGGTTGAAGCAGGAAGTGTTGATTCTCTCAAACACAAATTATTTTCTATTAGGAAATAACACTATGGGATATAGTACATAGGTGGTTTGGAACATATGTGGATACGACCTCCAGGAAGGTGAACTAGATGAACCTTAGTCTTTTTCGTCGAGCATTTCTTATGTTCTGTGCATGCATTTCATTACTCTAGTATAATGGGGTAGTTTCCAATATTATTTTCTGGTGTGGACCTTTACGTTTTAATGCTCCATTAAAATCGTATGAAATTAACATTTCTTTTAAAAGAAAAAGTCCCTATACTGGGATATATTCTGAACAGATTCTAGACTGATTTAGATATACAGCTATTATGGATATGCGCACCTCTAAGGACCAGGGTAGAGACTGTTTTATAGACACACACACACACACACCACTGTATCGATGTTTGTACCATCGAGGAAATGTAGGTATAGCTTTTTAAAAAATCCTCAGAGATGCAGTTTTGGTCCAGAGGTTGCCAGGTTTCCCTGCAGGGAGTTGTTCCTGAGCTAGGCTCTGACATTATGATACTTCCCGTGGAGAGCAGATGAAAAGTCAAAGTGAAACCTGAGCTTTGAATTATTAAAAGCCTGAGAATTCTCCGCATTTGCAGGCAGCGAACATTCCGATCGTTACTGAACTCGCTATTGACAAATTCCATTTCAATGACTTCTCTCTTGATATGGACGGCATGATCACCGCAGCCCTGAGGATGTTTATGGAGCTGGGAATGGTGCAGAAGTTTAAAATTGATTACGAGGTAATGCATACACCCAATTTCAAGGAGAATCGTTTCATCAAATAGCAGCTGTACATTTGTCTATCCAGTTCCTAAACTGCGTTTTATCTTACAGACTCTGTGCAGATGGTTATTAACTGTCAGGAAGAACTATAGAACGGTTCCTTATCACAACTGGCGGCATGCGTTTAATGTGTCCCAGTGCATGTTTGCAATGCTGACAGTGAGTATTCAAAGGATATACGGCGCTGTGAATAGGGCACAAAACAACATCATGAATGGCTCAGTAGACACAATATTTAAAACGTACGCTCACATAAAGTCAAACTTCCAATTTTAGGAAGAGACAACTATTTGGGGAGTACGGTATTGATGAATCGTCTAATTCCAATTAAAAGGCCGCTGGTTCTAAACTTCCTGTCGAGGGTGGGACGGGGTGGTGGGGTTCTGACAGTCTGAGAATTGACCTGCATTCTAATTCTTTGAGGCTGCAGAATGTTTGTGGGGAAAGTCACCATTCTTATACATAAAATAAAAGGCTAAAACAATCGGAATGACTGAATACCCACCCCCTAAATACTACCACGTATAACCTCTAGCCTTCTTGCTCTGAAACAAACAATAAAAGTTCCATTCTGCATTCAGTTAGTAGTCGTTAATGAAGCTGCCTTTACATGGAAGAATGTGTAACACTGAAAGCAAGCTTTTACAGGACACAGCATGGAATGACGTTAATGTAAGCCTTCAGAAAGTGGTTTGTGCTTTGAAATGTAAAGAAAACAGATAAATCATGGTTCAGAATATTAAATAAGCCTTTGAACTGTAAAGGCCAGAGTGAAGAGAGAGATTTTATTTCAGCGTATATTAGGGGAGAGTTTATTCTAATGAAAGACTGAGCATGGCAGATCTGCTGAGGCTTGGGGAAGTGGAAATGATGTGTGTAGAGGGAAATAGGTCAGGGTTAAAGAGTGAAAGTGTGAGGATGGATGAATATTCTGTGTGTATGTGGGTGGGGGGGTGTAAAACTGAATACTTTTGGGGAAACAAGGAATATTTCATAGAATCAAATACAGGAAGGAACAGCGACATTTTAAGACAGGTTCTCACATCTAAAAACAGGAATATAAATAGCAGCAGAGATTAGAGAATGTGTGTTGTGTGTGTACACACTTTGCAAGTGACATTGAATAGGTAAAAACGTGGGCATCCGTTTGTGATTTTAATCAAATGTCTGTTTCCTTCTCCAATGTATAAGTACTCCCGACGTGAAAGGCGCTTTACAAATGTAATTTTGTTGTATAGTCTAGTCATTCATTTGCATTTATCTTTATAAATGCTCACTGTATTCTTCCACTGTTGCAAATCAAATGCTCAGGGGAAACAAAAAGGAATTTCTTCACAACATTAGAACATTATTTAAACGCTTGAAAAAAAGACTGTACTTCAATCAAGCATTTCTGTTGATGTCATTTCTGAACATTAATGGAATCCAAAGATTGAATTATAAGCTTTAATGCACAGCCTGGCATCTTCCATGTTGCAGAGCATGTGCTAACACTTTGTAGACTTAGATCGTTATAGTACCGTTGCTCACTAGAGGTTTCAGTTTCCTCGGCTGTTTACTTACAGCCCAAACAGTGCATTGATTGACATTATCAGAGGGATATCACCATCTAATGAGGCATCATTACTGAAAAATCCAGTCACACAATTTATTAGAAGAAATGATCGGAGGTTGCTGAGGGATTCATGCTATCTGATCAGGGTCTGTACTGGGGATAAATCCCATGCTGAATTGCTGCAGCTGCGTCAAACCAAAATGCCTAGACAGAAAGCCAACAGCAAAGCTTCATTCAATACAGCAACAAGAGCTGTATTGTCGACCTGGAATTCTTTCCTTTCAGGTCATTTCTTAGAAGCCAGCCTCTTATGTGTCGAAGTTTAAACCGAGAGTTTAACCATTTGCTAAAGCAGAATTGCATTAGGCTATACGTCTGTGACTTACTTACCTGTTGTACCAAACCACAGCTGCATTCCCCGGCTCATATTACCAGAAAAAAGCAGGGCAAATTTTCCTGCGTTTTCTATCTTTGACTACACACGGTTACCCCCCAGTTACTATGCACAAAGAAAAGGAGGAAATGGAGCAGCGTGACAGAATTTATTCCACATAACTACAAGCTTCACTTGACTATTCCCTGATCCCATGAGCCTGGCCTCATTTGCATGTCTTTTCTTGCTAGACAGCAGGTTTTCACGAAATTCTGACAGACACTGAAGTTCTTGGTCTGATGGTCGGCTGCCTGTGCCACGACCTGGACCACAGAGGCACCAACAATGCTTTCCAGGCAAAGTGAGTTCTGATAACCTCCAATATACCATGAGCTCTTTCCTGGGCTAGATTTTATCTTAATCATCTACACAACAACAACATGGGGAAAGAGCTGGGGAAAAAGTGGGACTGATTGGGCAGCCCTTCCAAAGAACCGGCACAGGCACAATGGGCCGAATGGCCTCCCTCTGTGCTGTAATATTCTATGATTCTATGAACAACAAGTTATATTTTCTTTTGCACCCCTAGCGTCCCAGAGCGCTGAAACAAATACCTACTGGTTTCATCGTACAAAGCCATCAATCAAAAAAATGGCCGTTTAAATCCAATGAGAATCCTGAGTCAATTGAGATTTAAAAATATAATGCAAGCAGGGCCGACTTTGTAAATACAGAATCTATTCCAAATGAATATGTTTCCCAATGCTGACCTCAGGATATACTGTTCTTGTAAAAGTCTTAAGGGCTCATCAGTCCAATTACTGATCTATATCCCACTATCGCAATAGTTTAATAATGTGTATGTGTATTGGGGAGGGGGATCCATGTGATAGAGACCACAGTCACATATTTAGATACCACTGTGTCATTTAATACAATACATTCTGGCTGAACAATCGCCACATGTGGTACAGAATAGAGTCCAACTTCTATCACATTGATTCAATCCAATTCTTCAAAGCAGCAGTTTTAAGCGTTTCAAACATTCTTCGCTTTACCAAAGCTTCCCATGCTGTTGTGCATGTATTTCTCCCCCTTTACCTTCAAATCAGATTTCATTGACTCGTCTGATATTGTGTCAACGAGTTGCCTGTGGCACCTGTTGAAATATTAACAACTTACTGTAGCTCAGAAACGCAGCCAACACATTGTGTCCCATTAAAAACCAATAATAAACTTTCAGTCCACAACCAGAATTTCCAACATCTAGTGGGCAAATTGCAAATGAACATGAATAGGATCTGTTCTGAAAGGAAGGCTGTTTAACTCTTAAATTGCTCTATTGTCTGATTGCTTCTCTTCTCTGCTCCAGGAGTGGCTCTGCCCTGGCACAGCTGTATGGCACCTCGGCTACTCTCGAACTTCATCACTTCAATCATGCAGTCATGATTCTTCAGAGTGAGGTACTGCAGTCCTCTATCTCCAAAACAAACATATAGCAGTAACGTGTGACCAGGCTTTCGTAGCTTTGCCCAGGCAGTGTGAATGAGAGAAAAAGCGCAGGCAGAATCCACAATCTGCGTGAGGTTGTGTTTTTTTAACAGGTTGGCTGCACTCTCTGGTGGGAGAGCATGTGAAGGTACAGAAATGTCAAACACGATCTTGTCACAATCAGTCCCCAGAGGTGATGCTGATCTTTGCACAGCTCGGTTTCAAACTGCACCGAAGAGAATTTCACAATAATAAAACCCCCGATTCTCTTCGAATATTTTTGTCTGACAGGAAGAAATATCCAAACTTGGAGAATTAGTCAGGCAGGGGAAAAACTATTTTAGAAAATGTATATATATACATTTATGTACATAAAACAGAGCTAAGGCAAGAGAAAGAGAAACTAAAGCTGCCTGTATGTCTGTTACTAGTCCGCTTTCCCAGATACTTGGAACATTCTAGAATGCGACATTTTAACACCGCAGAGGTCCACTTGTGAGGAAGCCAATACTATTTACGCTTGTGAGGAGCTACAATTCTTGAAAAAGTATTTTCTAAAACAGATTGAATTAAAGATGATGATTAAAATCAAAATCATTTTGGTTTTAATTTCAAAAGGCTTTCTCAGAAATTTCCTGATCTCTAACTGAACTGAATGTAACACTCTTTGTTTCCTTGCTGTTCAAATGGCAATCTAACAACGTGATGTGGTGGTTGTGACACGCAGTGGGCTGGAAGCAACATCTCATCAATTTTTTATACAAACCTACACGTAGCTCCTGATTTCACATTGTAGCTTTCCCATCACTGGAGGCAAAAGAAAGGTCTGGAATAAGAAAAGGTCATTTGTCCCCTGAAGCTCCTTCCTCCAGTACATCGATACTGTGTTTATATTGCAGGTTTCATGTAGCAAGTAAAAATAGATGGTACAAAATAGTGCGAGAGAGTTACAAGGCAAACAGGATGCTGGGCTATACTATATTCCCTAATCAGTTGACTTCAGATGCCCAGAAATCATACTCAACAACAGCAAATTACATTTGTATAGCGCCTTTCACGTCAGGAGGACGTCTCAAGCTTGTACTGTGGTCTAGTTGAGGTGAATCTGGAGTATGTACACAGATCTGGTCACCGCAATATAAGAAGCCCATACAGGCCCAAGAGACAATGTTGAGAAGAGCAATGAGAATGATCCCAAGTGTTTGAGGAATGAATGCTGGACAGAGTCTGATGATTGCACAATAATCCACTATCTTTTTACACTCACTTACTGGTAACCTTTGACAGTATTAAAATATAAACCACAGTTAAAATGAACCACTCGATCATAGTGATCAAACCGAGACCCCAGTTTAGCGGCCCGGCTCCATTGTACTCAAGCCATTCGCAAGAGGATTTTGGACAATAATTTTGGACCAGTTTGATGCGATTGATGCTGTATTGCACATTCAGAATTCAGTCATTAAATTAAAAAAGAAACTACTTTGGCCACGCAGCAGGAGTAGTAAGTAGTAGGTAGTCAATACCGTTTTCTTTGTGCAAATGGATTTTGATGCAATTTCTTTATTTATCTTGTTGCAGGGTCACAATATCTTTGCCAGCCTATCCTCTGGGGAATATAGTGACATCATGCAGCTTTTGAAACAATCCATCCTGGCAACAGATCTCACTCTCTACTTTGAGTAGGTTTCACTTCTGCTTTCTATTCCAGTGAGCCACTTATTCTTGTCCATTGCTCCATAAACTGCACTTTTGTGAAATGGAGTGTTTGAAACCATTGAAGGATCTCATTAGATATCTTCATAGCTTTGTCCACTTGTCTTGCCACCTTTAGAAATTTACGCATACTAACCTCTAGGTTTCTGCTCCTTTTAAAAATGTTACAGTTTCTTTACTCCGCACGCCTCTGTTTACCTCGCTGTAAGTAGGTACCCGGTTGTTAGTGGATTGGCAGATTGCTTTTCCGGGGGTAAAATTCCTTAAAAAAAATAATAAATTGGATCACTTCAAGCCACGACGGTTTGTGGGAAGCTGCTGTGTGCAATTGGCTGCCTTGTTTCACCCACAAAATATACGGTCAATTCACTTTACCGTATATCCTGCGAAGAGCTTTGAGACGTCTTGAAGATGTGATAAGACGCCATATCAAATTGCAAGGATTATTATTATTATTTTAGCAGTCTCATTCTTTTTCCCCAAAATGTAAGACCTCACACTTTTCGGTATGATGTTCTCTTTGCCCAATCTACAGGTCTATTTGTCAGCAATTTCAGGAAGACATTCATCTTCATTGTTAGCTGTGCTCCCTACAAAAACAGTGTCTTGTGACCATTTGAAAGCACAAACATCTGTAAGAGTCCCCGAGCAATGGAGTGAGAAATATTCAAAGCGACTTGCTTCACGGATGAAGCAAACATTTGTGAAAGTGCGGTGGGTTGCGGGCATAACAAGGTCAAAGGCCAACAGGATCAGTGCTTCATTGGTAGAGAACAAAGCCAGGGGCATCTCACAGTGAACAGAGAAACAGAACAGAGGCTGAACACAATGGCGGGAAAAAACGATAATAGCAGCTCTATTCAAAGTTCACATGTGCATGGCAACTACTACAGATCCTGAGGGAGAATTTCACCTGAAGCAGCCACAATGCAGCCGTTTACTTTGTAGTGTTGCACTGTATGAGCCATTTAGGCAAGGCTTTATAAGCAACAGTCTTACAGCTTGGTTAATTCAAACAGTTGAATGTGGTGGTAGACACTTTGCTTGGGCTCACCCTTTTCGTATCAGCTGGAGTCAATTTGAAGAGAGATAACAGGGATATTTTGCAATATTCACAAACCAGATTCAAGTTGCTATTCGAGACTAATGGATAACAGGTAAATAAGTAAACGGCTTTAAATTTCCTTCACAATGTTAAGCACATGGATCTCGATGCATTTCGAAACCTGCAAGACACAGGATTTACAGCTTGTGAGAGCACTCTGCAGAATTCTATTCTAAAACAGTCAATAAAATGCTGTCAGATTGTTAAATCCCATATCTTCTGGAACATTTTGCAAAGTGCAGAGCTTTAAACCCTGGATTTTACACTTGTGAACCCTTATAACTAGGATTCTAGCTATTAAACAGCATCTGCCCCACTGCAGCAGAGCTATGTTTACAGGAATCATTTATGTGGCAGTAGACAAACTCCATGGAATGATTTCAGCAGCCTGTTATTAGTTCACATTGTGTTTGAGCTTTTAATTGCTTTCCTCGATGCTCACCTGGAGTAGCATTTTGCTGAAGTGGTGATGTAATCAAATCTGAAAGTAATCAACAACAACAAGATTATCATTTGTATAGCGCTTTTCATGTCAGGAGGACGGACGTTCCAAGGCGCTGGAGAGTGTACAGCATTTCAGATCCGAGCTGGAGTCAGGGGGGAAAGGGAGAGGGGGATGACCAATGGCATAGTTGAAGAGGAGGGTTTTGAGACAGGATTGAAGGAGACTAAGGAGGGGGCCCGGCGGAGTGACTGGGGGGATGGAGTTCCAGAGGTTGGGGGCAGAGTGGCAGAAGGCTCTCCCGCCAATGGTGGGGCGGGGGACGTGGAGCAGGCCAGAGCCGGCTGAGTGGAGGGAGCGGGCGGGTTGTAGGGGGTTAGGAGGTCACAAGGATAGGGTAGGGCGAGACTATTGAGGGCTTTGTAGGTGAGGATCAGGATTTTGAACTGAATCCTCTGAAGGATAGGGAGCCAATGGAGTCGGACAAGAATGGGGGAGATGGGGTCATGGGCTGCAGAATTCTGGATTATCTGCAGCCTGTGGAGGGAGGAGTTGGGAAGGCTGACAAGCAGGGCGTTTGCATAGTCGAGTCTGGCGGTGATGAAGGCATGAACAAGAACTTCAGCGGCCTGAGGGGTGAGGTAGTGGCGGAGTAGGGCGATGTTACAGAGGTGAGGGAAGGCAGAGCAGGTCATGGCTTGGATGTGGGGAAGAAAAGACAGTTGAGGGTCAAACAAGACACCTCGGTTCCTGACTGCCTGTGAGTTGTAGTGTGCAACCATGGAGGTTGTTGCTGCCAGAGCCTGAGGTGCTGACTCGAGCCAATCAGGAGGGCCTCAGTCTTGTTCACATTCATCTGTAGGAAGTTTAACCTCATCCAGGACTTGATGTCCGACAGACAGTCTGTCAGGACAGCAGTGGTCCTGGTGTTGAGGGTGGAGGCAGAAAGATAGAGTTGGGTGTCATCCGCACACATATGGAAGTTGACCCCATGTCTGCAGATGATGATACCAAGGGGGAGCATATAGATATTAAAGAGGAGAGCGCCAGGGACAGAGCCCTGGGGGACCGCAGATGTGACAAAATTACAAGGAAATAAACAATGTCAACATCTGAGCTAAAGCAAAGCAATCTTCATAAGAAAAAAATCAGGTGTGCACAATGATGTTAACTTCATGTTCTTCTGAAGGGTGAATTTTAAATGTCAAGACTGTACAATACTCTCGGTTTTACACCTGCAAGAGCATTCGTGGGACACAGTTGGAGGACATGAGACCACAAAGAAGAATTGTGACCATCATCGCCAGTGTTCACAGAACCCATTTTACAGTATTGTTTTGGAGTCTGGATTGAAATAAGCTCTATTTTGGTTTGACACATATGGAAACCCATCACTATCTTTAGGAGCATCCAAACCACACAGAGTTCCACAAATGCACAGCACCTACATATGGAAATTGCCCGACATTTAGAAATGGAATGCGCTCTCTCTCTCTCTCCTCCCAGAGGGGTGCACCTGCTTATCTAATTCTGGAAAGTCTTAGGCGCAGGCTGGCAAGAGTCGAGGCTTGTAACTGCCGGGAACTCCTTGCGAGACACTTGGTAAACACACAACTCGAGCATGAAATGGTTGAGAGCACGGCCATCGTCCTTCTACCACAAGCTAGACACACACACAAGAACCTTGAAGAAAACTGTTTGTCCGCACAGAGAGACAAGGAAGACCAGATACTTTCAAGATTCCCCCCACTCGAGCCAGAGTCATAATCTAATGAATCTGATATATGCACTATGACTACCCAAATCACCACCTTAAGAGACACTGAAGTCAGTGAGATTTCTCAGTCTCTATCAATCTCACTAGCGCTACCTTTTCTGTGAGTAGAAGAGCACATAAGCAGTTCGACATTATTATAAGTAGTGGGAAGAAGTGTGGGGGGGGTGGGTGTGTGTGGGGGGAGAGAGGGGAAGAGTTGAGTTACAGCTTTCAATTGCAGGCAGCGGAAAGAAGTGAAGTAAGATTTTGGAGTCTGGCTGTGGAGATTAGAAAAATGCAGAGTTTTGGACCATTCAAACTGTAACTGGAAGCTGTCTCTCAGTTGCTTAAATTCGGCACTCGTACAGTGGCTTGTTGCTAAAAGAACGGTTCCAGAATTTAATAAGGTAGAGACCAATGTTCACGTTCTTGTAATTGTATTGAAATTCAAAACTGTGTGTACAGCAAATTCTTATGCTAATGTTCTTTCAACTGGAAATAATTAACAGGATCAGCTCTGGCTGAGAATTCCCACAAGCTTTCCTTGTAAAATCCACCTCCCTGCTTTGTATGGAGCTCCAGCCTGTGCATTTACTGCCAAACCTTTTGAAACCTTTTGAATTTAGGGGCAGGAAGTTGCTCTGAAATAATGAGAAAACGTGGCTTTAATGTGCTTCTGAACATTCTGCTGCTCTTACTTTGGATTCATCCTACAGTCAAACTTGTTTTCCAAATGAAAGCATCTTTCAAATGGTGCCAATTAACTTCCATCTGTGTCACTGTGCAGTGACTATTCCCAACTCATTCACTGGATTAGAAATTGCTACAGTGTAAGATTTACATGTTCACGCCATGCACACGCTATAATCTTATTTTGCTGAAGAATTATTTTGTTTGCAAATTAGTCAGTGTTCTGGTGCATGAAAAAAGGTTCCCATCACGTGTGTTTATTATTTATTTCTAAATATATTTTGCCCCATCATTTCTAAATGCATGATCCAGAGGAGAGTTGCGATTTACCATAACGGTGAATCTCTCTTTTCTAGACAACGAATGAACTTTTTCGAACTGGTGAAATCAGAAGAGTACAACTGGAATGTAAAGGATCAGCGAGGAGTACTCAGGTAGAGATTTCTACGTAATAACTCAAGTGCATGTCTAAACCGTATTGTCGAAATATTCACAGAACATTCACTCTTTGAACAGTTGCGAAACAAAGGAAATTCATACACATTATTGCTTCAACGACAATAAATGACATTTGTTTTCAGTGTGTTGCACGTCGGGAGGCGTTCCCAAGGCACCGGACAATCAGGGATTCAGACCCGAGCTGGGGGTTGGGATCAGGAGCTGTGGGTAATTCTTCATGGATGGGCAGAGCCTTTGTGGAATCTTTTAAGAAAATAAATCAGGCTGCGGTAGGCTCCTGAATAAGGCTCTGTAGATACGTAAGCACCGAGATGCCTGCTAATGGGAATGTGTATTGTCATTGTAGGTCAATGTTGATGACAGCCTGTGACCTAGGGGCTGTGACGAAGCCGTGGGAGATATCACGACAGGTCAGCGGGTTTCAGTTACACAACCTTTCGACAAATGTCTTTTCACCATTAACTAATGCCGGACAACCCAGTCATATTTGGAGTTCAAAGCTTTAAAATGTCTCACATTGTAGCTTGTGAGGAAACCAGAATGTTAATCCTTTTATCCTTTTGTAGATGGAAAGAGTTACTTAGCATTTGATTAAAACCAAATCTAAACAGAATTCCACGTTTGGTGGTGGGGGGGAGGGGAGAGAGAGGGGATAGGGTCAGTCTATGCCATTTTGTGTATGTTTTTGTTTTCATTTAATCTTCATCTGCAGACAAAACAAGATTACAGCATACATTGAACAATCTAGCTACCAGGGAATGTAGTTTAAACATAATTATCCAGGCTTGTGAAAGAATTTCAAAGCAAAGACTTCAATACGTCAAACAGACAAGTGACTCAAGCATTAGGTACCAGTGAAACACTTCGGGTTTAACCCACGGCTACAATAGACAAATTAAAATTGTTCAGATTATAAACGATTCTTCGTACTTTATGAACTTTTAGGGGGGGAAACAATTCCTGTCCTACGATTAAGGGGGAAGAAAACTGGTTTACTCAAAGGTGGTCGTGTTACCTACAGTACAAATCGCAAAGCTGCCTCCATTCATGGTAGAACTTTGCAGGAAGGCATCTCATATGCAGATATTGTAGTGGATATTACATACTGTAATACTACAGAGGCATCAAAGCATTAGATGGTCCACAAAGAGGTTAATAAGGGGAACAGCAGAGTAGGAACAGTAGGGAATTAAAAGTATCAAAAGATAGTGATGGTGATGTGTTTATAGGTAGAATATAAATAGGCGCTTCTCTTTCAGGTAGCTGAACTGGTTACCAGTGAATTCTTTGAACAAGGAGACAGAGAAAGAGCGGAGCTGAAACTCATCCCTTCAGTAAGTCAAAGCCCGTTCCATTTTCTTACCCAAGTGCGTTCAGTTAAACGGTTATTTTTCACAACTGGAATTGTGAATTTGCAGTTAACCTTCATGACATCAGCATGTTTCTATCCAAAATAAAAGTTGTAACTGTAACTTGGATTGAAGGAATGTTCTGCTCTGGGTATTTCCAGAAGATAACTAGTAGCCCGTGCACATAGAGCAACATCATGTCCCCGATGTTAGTTTACACAATATTTCATTGTTAGCAAAACTGTAATACATCAACCCTGACAACCTGAAGTACTGTCTGCCTGTTCAGATGGACGTTAAAGCTCTCATGGCACAATTTACAATACAAAATTACATTTGTATTAGTGCCTTTCACAGCAGGAGAACATCCCAAGATGCTGGACAGTCAGGGATTTTGGACACAAGCCAGGTGGAGGTGTTGGGATCAGGGAGGGTAGGAGGATGGCCGAAGGCGCGGTTGAAGAGGTGGTCTTGAGACATGCCTTGAAGGAGGTAGGGGAGAGAGTGAGGCGAAGGGAATGTGGGATGGAGTTCCAAAGGGTGGGGGCAAAGAGAAGGGAGTTTCTCCTAGTGTCCTCAGCGACAAACCCTCAGATAAAATTGGTCACTCACTTCATGGCTGAATTGGCTGCATAAATTGTCTAGAATGTTCAACTACAAATTCAAGGCCACCAATACACCACATAGTAAATCCTGTAGGCACTGCATCAATTGCAAGAATTATTATAAACAGGAACAAGTCAGGTATCTTTCAAATCAGTAAAATGTATCTGAGTGAACAATATAAATTGTTGGAAGCTAATGCAGAAAATATAGAAGGGGAAGTAGGATCCTTTATCATCGTGGTTGAGTGAGTCCATAAGAACTAATCTCTCAGTTCTTTTGAAAGTGCCTTTAGTAATTAAGGCTTGTCAGAGCTGTGCCTTTCTCAAACCCGAGAGGCATCTGAAACATATCCGGGCTGATTAATGAAGCTTTTCCAGTTATCACAGAGTTTTCCTGACTTTCATTTATTCCCTTTGAAAGAACTCACCTTATCTGTTGCATAAGCTGACCGGTACAGATGGAATAAGGTGAATGTGGCAAATGAGCCAAAGCTTTACTGTTCCGATTGTTTTCCCCTGCTCCCGCTCAAACATCTCCTGTTTTTAGTACTGGTTCTCTATTTTGCAGAGTGTACTTTACAAATACTCATGTGGCGGCAATTCATTGCTATTTATTATCACTTCTAGGCCATTTTTGATCGCAACAGAAAAGATGAACTGCCAAGCCTGCAGTTGGAATGGATTGATGGGATATGTCTGCCCCTCTATGAGGTAAGCCGTTTTCATCAACCCAAGTTGTAATTTTCACTACATTTCAGAGGTATGTAGCCTCTTCCTCTTCGCGCTATAGATTAAATACTAGGCGGAGTTCCACAACAAATGAGGATCATTTCATTTTAAACCCTTACCACCCCCCCACCCCCCCGGGTAACCAATGATGCTGACTGTCTAATCATTATAGTGAGACAACTTTAAAAAAAAACTTGTTTTTACCTTGATACAAATAGCAGAGGTAGGTCAATTAATACTACTTTATGAATCTGAATTTCATCTATGTGGCTCCAGAGTTATTTTCAGTGGGGGGGGGGGGGGGGGGTAAGGGCAAAGAAAAGGGGCAATTAAAGTAAAATCTTTGTTAGTCTTCAGAGAGAAATTATACGTTTCATTGTTGCACGCTGTTTTGTACCCGTTTACTAAACTAGCAAGAAGGTAGCTGCCAAATGCCGTTGTCTCAGCTACACCATTCAGTATTCCCTAAAAGACCACTTTACAAACACAAATCATGCCCCATATAATAATGTGCTTGGACTCCAACTGACTGAAAACAAATTAGCTCCATATACATTACGACTCTTGCGAACTGCATGTAACAACAGCAGTTAATAAATGTTGGAGCCTTAAGATCAGCGTGCTGCTTATCTGCTTCTATGAAGTGCAGGGCAATTCTCAACATAATGGCACAATTAACTGCGCGAGCCAACACAACAAATCAGTCAACTGCAGCAATCAAATGTAAATCGGTATTTTGACAAACTTGGAGCCTCAAAATGGTGATTACGGAACAAAGTGATTGAGCTTCGTTTGCTTTCAGCAAACTGGTATACTGGTCCTGAAATTACTTGTCTTTATCTGGCTATTTCTTATTCATTTCCTGGTCCTCCAGGTATGGAGATGCTGTCATCAAATCCACTACAAACAGTCACTTTATAGACACAGTCATTGGAGCCGCCTTTAAAAAACATGTCCAATTTTCTCTCTGCCATATCACTGGTGATGAACACAAGAATCTCCCCCTTGGAAATACTTTGTTGGAACTTTACGTTATTTATTTATTCTGCTCCTCAGGTATATCTGCACTCTTTATATAAATGCCACAAAATCTCTTCAGATAAAAATATCAAAGAATTCCCTTATATTTTAATGGCACACTTCAAATTGAAGGGTCTATGTTCAGATGCAGTTTAAAACGTAGAAAGACATGTCAGTAGCCTGACATCTGGATGAGTAAACTTGTTGCTGGTTTCAGTATTTCAGCCCCTTGCTAAGTAAGCCACATTCTATATATTTCTTCATGTATATTTTGGTAAACATAAAAAAAATCTTTTCAGCAAAGATTTTGAAATATCTGGGTCATAGAAGGTAGCACGCATGCTTTATTCATAAGGGTAGATTGAATCCAAAAGGGGGTTTAATGAGATGAGGTGGGAAGGGAATCATCAAAGCAATGCTCTCCACGTGAAGCCTCGGTCTGAACAACAAAGCCTTAGTTAAAACTCCTAGCAGAACATCTCCAGGGAGGACCGGGATACTCATCAGCCTATCCCACTTTCTCCAAGTGTGAAGTTCTGCTGCGAGCTCAGCTAACTTACAGGTCAACACACAACCCGCCAAAATATTCACTGCTTTGTTAGTTTCAGCCAGCAGGGAGCTCCTTCTTATTAAATGTAATCGCTACCTGATTATTTCTAGGTGCATCTTTTCCCGTATTTATTCAGCTCAGAGGAGACATCAGCGAGTCACGTACGTCATCCAATACGCACGCAAGTGCTCAATTGCAGGGCAAGATGACAAAGCAGTCCATGTGTGCAGAGACCCAATGTTTATCTCCAATAGAGCATTAACTCAGCTGAGAACTAAAACAACTCCCGACGCTCTGGTTGGGTTATGAGTCACAGCTGGAGGTGCAGCAAAGGGGCTATAATTACAGTGGAAACAAGCAACCCATCTACTGTCTGCTTCCACCCCAACACAGGGAATGATACCACAGATAGAAAACTCTGGCAAGGGGCAACATTCAGCTAGTAAATCACCCAATAGATCTAAAACACTGAATAAATTATTGCTTTTGCAACTTAACCACAAAGTCAAATTACAAAAATGCTTGAAATAATATTTTATATATTAAGTCCAGATCATTTATTAGTAGCACAGGTAGAAAAACAGCATCTAGTCTATCCATCTTACTGCCAGCCACCCCCTCGTCCCCCCAAAAAAAGCCCTCAACACATCCAACTCATTTATCTAATAATTTTAATAGCCAGAAACCAGTCTAACATCCTTTCTGAAATTCATCAAAGTCTCTTGTTCACTGCCTGTACTGATAAATTGTTCCACAGGCTTACTACATACTTGAAAATCCTAACTAAAACAATCTTCCTACTCTTAATCACTTTTGTGGTCCTTACCTTATAGTAATTGTTCAAGAAGTATTTCTAACACATAAATCTCCAAAGGTATTTTTAGCTAATGACAGTGGCAATGTTCTGAAATGGATCTAAATAAAAGCTTATCCATCCAAGTGACAACAGCACAGACCGCATGCCTTGACTTGTCAATCAGTGGTTATTGGAATTAATTGGATGCATATTGAGTTAATACTGTGCATCTCAGGAAGGTGAGAAGCTCTTTGTGAGTTCCTGGGATGTTCAATGTAATTAGCAAAGAAGAACACTAATCGGGAACAGTGGCAGATGTTGAATATGCAATCTCCGCATCATTGGAAGCATTACGTTGCGGGAGAGCTTATTGTTCAAGATAATTTCCCAGTAGCTCTATAAAGGAGATGTATTAAGAGGGCTTAATTAGAATAAGAGAGCTTGTGAATCAATGATTTAATTAGTTTTTAATTGCCTGCAGTGAAATATTATTTGAATCATTTTAGTGATGAAGAAAACCCAGTAAGGCCAAAGGTTGTTCTACTGCTTAAGTGGGCAAGAATCACCATCAGAAAAATGGGCAATTCAAGAGGCTTAGAGCAGATATCAAAATACTTGAATAAACAATGCAAATAAATACAAAGCTCCTATTACAGTCAGCAATGCAATTTGTTAAATATCTGTGTTACTTTACAAAGACATTTACAGCATATTCTGTGAAGCGCTTTGAGACGTCTTGAAGACGTAGTAAGGCACTATATCGAATGCAAGTATGATTATTAGTAGAGAAATGGTATGCAGTAGAAACCGAGAGGATTTACAGCCTAGAAAGTGAATATCATAGTTCCCAGTGGCAGTACAGTAATAAGAAAATGTCAAGATCTAACATATTGCTAAAAAAAATCAGAAAACACTCCCAAGACATTCGGCTATGCTGGTAAAATGTGCCTGAACCTATCCATTTGCTCATTGTTCTCTGGAGTAAGACATTAATTTCCAGAAGCAATGGAAAATTTCCTTGAAATTGTCTTTAAAATTTTTTGTAGAATAAGCTTTATTTACAAAACAAAATTACATTTGTATAGCGCCTTTCACGTCGGGAGGACGTCCCAAGGCGCTGGACAGTGAAGGATTTCGACCTGAACTGGGGTTCGGGATCGGAGAGGGTGAAGGCCAGGGGAAATAGGAAGGTGGCCGAAGGCTTGGTCGAAGAAGAGGGTTTTGAGACTTGTCTTGAAGGAGCCAAGGGAGGAACTAAGGCGAAGGGAATGTGGGGTGGAGTTCCAGAGGGTGGGGGCAGAAAGGCTGAAGGTAAGGCAGGACGGGGGGGGGGGGACAGGTTGATATGGGGTCAGCATGTCACAGATGTAGGGAGAAGCAAGGTCGTGGAGGGCCTTGAAGGTGAGGACGAGGATTTTGAACTCTATCGTCTGGGGGATGGGGAGCTATTGGAGCTGGGCGAGGGTGGGGTTGGTGGGGTCACGGAGCTTGGTGTGGGAGAGGACACAAGCTATTATCTAAAAGAGAAAGTCATCATTTAATAGCATCAATTGGGTTTTAGAATCGCCAACTCAGTTCTCTGAACCACATGCCCATGCATTGTGCAATTTTGCTTGTATCTGGCTCGTCCCACTCTTTCTATTACTGTATTCTTGATAGATCGCTACTTCTTGCAGGGTGGAGGTAGGTGATAGAACTGCATAAAACTGTGGATATTGCTGCAGTCTCACATTGTGGTGAGCGACATGTCAACTCACATCCCTAGCTCATTTTCAGTCTCCCTTTGGTAAAATTCATCCCATCCATGGAGTACATCTTCCTTTATTTCCACTTTATTTTTGACTGTCCCATTGCGATGTCTGAGACCATCTCTCCTGCTGTGTTCTGAATGCACCAAAAACGATTTCTTTTTGTACCCTTTGCCTTCGACAACCATTTCTAATATCTTCAGAGAAAGAAAAGGAACCTACGTTGTGCTGAGCAGCATAACATTACATAAGTTGTCCTTTCACTACGGAATCCTAGGTTTGGATGTGTCCCAGATCTCCTGTTTCTGTTGTGCAAGATACATTTGGACACTTGGATCTCAGTTGCAGTGGAAGTTGAAAGTAGCATCAGAATGTTCAGCAACTTGATGTTTGAGCTGGTCTGTGGAGTTGGCTTTTATTTAATTGTAGCACAGGTTCCAGTACAGAGCAACCATTAAAGTCATCAAGCAGTGTAACCCAGTGAAGTGGGGGCACATAGGTTACCCATTGCCCATCTTCAGTGGCAGACAGACACCAGTTCCTGCACTGGTGAAATCAGCATGGAACATGTCTTACATGCTGGTTTTATCAGTGCAGGAACAAATGACTCATTAGGTATAAATTAAACTAAATTATAAATTTAAAACTAAAACTATAAATTAAACCCACCATAGTTCACAGGACATGGGTAACAAGATTTTTGATGAAACTATAACTGATTGAGTGTAAGCAGAGAACACAATACCACAAAATTATGTTGTGTGGTTCAGGCAGCTCTGTCTGAAGACGAACTGAATTATTAAATAGAATTGCACTACAAATTTTATGAATCTTCCACCTGGCTGGAGGTGGTGTGAATTCAAAACCAAACAGGAGGAAGCCTAACCTAAGATAGATAGTAATGCTTCTGTTAAATGCTCATCAGTGCTAATTCGAGGTGTACTGACATTTTGATTCATTTTTTCCCCCTTCCCCATCCCATTTCTAGGCTCTCGTGCGAGTGAACCCGAAGCTCAAGCCGATGCTAAACGGGATAACAGGGAACAGGTCCAAGTGGGAGGAAATGCACCAAAAGGGACAGATGTCCCAGGAAGGTAGTGACACCTCCAGCTGTAGTGTGTCTGTGCCAGACAGCAGCTAGAAGTCGAGATGTGGTTGGCAAGGATGAGCAATCTCCCTGACGTGGCTGCTGTTCAGATGGATTAATACATTCTCCCGTTGTGCTTTGCAAGGGCGATTGCTAATGCTCAAGCCCCGGTGAGCTGCTGCTGCACAGAACGGAATCCCTCAATTCACAATTAAGAGGGAAAGCAACAAAATAAGGAGGGCAATACAACTGCACTGTTGTGTGCTGACGGCTGAAAACCTGCTGAGAAGCACGACCAGCACAACTTGCTGTGCACAGATAGTGCTACTGATTGCTGAGAACTTGCCGTCTTCTGCAGAAAATATATGAACATTTTCAGTTCAGCGCAACCAATATTTAACAGCAGGCTTAATGAACATGTATTATTTAAATTTCAGGATGGGAAGGTGGATTGTTCTGTACATTTTGTTATCCTGCATTTGCCAGAACTCTGTTATGAGCCAGTTGTTGCCTGCTTCTATGCTCTCCCACCCCCCGCCTCCCCCCCATACTGGAATGTTCTTGAAGTGTATTTTTCTGACACTTTTTCTACCCAACACTCTCCTGTTAACCTAAGGATGCCAGGGAATTTTTTGTGTGTGTTGGAACAAAATGCATTCGAATTGTTGTGTGCTGATACATATAGGCAGTAAAGGCTGATACAAATGCTTAACATACAGAGCCCGAGGGCACTACTGCGGTTCACTTTGTAACTATGAACAAGGAAATAGTGTTTCAGGTATGAAGATGCATGGTGGAGAAAATCAATTGTGTTAGCAGGCGATTGGCTAAAGATGGCATGGGACATTATCAGCATGAAGTTTCTAAATGAAGAAACAAAAAAAAAACAATCTTTGGCTCTCTCTGTATGGCTTCCCTCACAGATATGAGACAGAAGGGGATCTCACTACGTCAGACTATCTCCTGATTCTCTCTAACGCTCTCCATGCTCCATTGTAAAAATTCTGCATGCATTTCACCTTTGCATCTGTAAAACGTGCAAAGTTATTCTGAGAGAGAGTGCTTACAACTATATTTTTTACATTGGAGTTGAAACCTGTATGTTCAATCTGACAATGAATACAGTGCCCCTCCCTCTGCCAATTCATCTTTCACCTCTTCCCGCTTCACAGAAAGTACCCGCCGCCATTCACAGATGAAGTATTAAGCCCCGACACTCAATGCTTGTCATGTTTATCTGGACATAGCACAATCACCTAATACCTACGCCGATACCGGTTGCAGTGACCCAGTCTATTATCCTGCTCTGCACCTGCAAAACAAGAAGCCATTTTATTTAATCCATTCCAGAAAGGTGTTGGTTTAAGCTACCTTGGGGTACAGGCCCCAAACCTGCTGATGAACCAGTCCCTTTACCCTGAGTGTTTACATTCCTGTGCTCACTCTGTAAGAACATGAAGCCCAAAACAAGGAAAGGTCACTTGGTCCCTCAAGCTTGCTTCTTCCAATGACACTGTTGTGCAAAGATCTGTATCGTACATCTTTTAATCTCCCTTCAATGAATACATTCATGCTTGTGCGTCCTCTGTCAACAGCTCAAAGTGCCACATTCGTTCCATTTTTTTCTTTGCTGGATACAATGCAATACAAAATTACATTTGTATCGCGTCTTTCATGTCGGGATGACGTCCCTAAGATTCCATATGCTTTTGAAGGTAGAATTCCCAAAGCTGCAGTCAATCTATATGCCCTCACCAGTGATCTACACAATGTTAGAACAATTTACTTCAAATAATAGTCAAATGCCCTAGAGATGCAATCTAGTCTTTGATCACAGCCTCTCATTAACTCAAAATGTTCAGTGAATGATCAATAATCACATCCAAATCCTTCTGCACCTCTGCTAATGAACACTCTTTGATTGTGCACACAGGTTTACAGTTTGTTTCAATAGCTTTCATTTACTTTTATCTACATCTTGGCTCATCTGCTTAATTGGTGCAGATCCCCTTGAATCCATCCAAATACAGGTAGTTCCAACTCTGAAATGAATGCTTCAATTTTAGTTCTATTCTAACTTTAATTGCTCCTTATAAATTCATTTAATACCGCTCCCTGCTTATGATCTCAACACTGACAAATTGGGTACAGCAAAATTTACAAAACCTAGCTCTGTTTCATTCTTAGAACCAATTGTCCTCCAGCACCTTTGGTGATGCAAATTACAACTGCAGAGAACTAATATAGTTAGTTACGACTCCTATTGTTGCTTAGAAGAACAGCGAAAAAGGTGCATGTTAAAATCTAAATCCAAAGTACATTTGGTGTCCCCCTCCCCCCCATCTTTACTTTCCTCTGATCACATTTGCGAGCTTGATCCCATTTTATTCCTGGATTCTATTTCCTGACCAGTTTATGGACATAGGTTATGCTGCTGAATTTGACAGATTACTGGACCAAATGTATCGCCGTTTTAAGACAACCACACACCCAGCAAAACCGATCGCATTCAAACAATTCACCACCCGGGAGTTTGCATCATTAAAAAGACATGGACACGAGATCCGTCATTCCTTCTGTTTTCCTTGCTGTTGATTTTGGTCTCCGTGCTGTTTCTGTCAGTAAAGCTAGAAATACTGTTACCATACTGACTCCTGCTGGAGATAAAGGTGCAGCAAAGACCAAGAGTGACAATCTGTCTCCAACAGAATGTTTTCAGTGGTGGGAAAAGGAAAGGTTTTGTATTTTTGCTTGATCCGTGTGTTAATTGTACACTTTATCTTTTTGTCTGAAAGAAACACTGTGAAAAATATCTTGAACTGAATTGTTGAAAAGCTGCATAAACATTCACACAAATAATCTTGTAAGGCTATTCTCCTTCAGAATATCATTCGTGCACAGGAACTGCTAAACTTCATTGAGCTTCTGATTTCAGGTTGATACTGTATATACACCCTCCATGCATTCTGAAACAATTGTTTTAAAAAAATGAAACCAACTAACTGTATTCCCGAAATGTTGTCTTCATTTGGGACAAACTAACTGGACAGTGCAAGCAACGACTTCATTCCCTCCACGTTTTTTGTTGCAAAATAATATTTCCTGCTTCTCAGAAGTGAAGTTCTGTAGTGTAGTGGTTAGAGCAGTTGCCTTGCGAGTGACAGGACCTGGATTCGATTCCCAGGCAGGGAAAACATTAAGCAAGTTTCCTTATTCCACACGCCTCTGTTTACCTAGTAGTAAGTAGGAACCTGCTTCTTAGTCGATCTCCGGATCACTTTTCTGAGGGTGATAATCCCTTCAAAAATGTTTTATTAAATAATAATGTGGTCACTAAATCTGCTGTGCTGAATTGGCTGCATTTAACTGAAAACGAACCAAATATAGAATCTGCAGTAATTGTCTCCAGTGTACAGAGACATTGTTTGAGACTAAGCACTTTGAGGTGACCTCCCGGGATGAAAGGCACTACTGTCTATAAATGTAAAATTGTTGTACAGGATATACTACAAGTTTTTTTGGCAAGAAATGCACACATTTTCCTTGGATTAGTATACGAATGCCCACATTTCCAATATCTTGACAGACTTTTTTTCAGCCATTATAGAAACTGAGTAAAGGAGACCATAGTCAATTTAAATTGAATTTAATTTTGAATTCAGGTAGGCAGGACTTTCAAACAATCTGCTAGCCTTAGGTTCTGAGTGCAATGAAGATGGAATCCATGTTTACCATTTGCTTAAAGGATCAAGCGCTGTTTGAACCATTACCTTGTTATCCTGATTCTTAACCATTGGTGGGTAGTAAACTGGAACAAATAACTAGTGTAGCTGTTGCCACTGTGTACTGAAGAGTGGTCTGTTTATATTGGCTTGCAATTACTCATATGTTGAACCATTCAGATGTCATGCAATGTTTAAGGAACCCTGTTGTGGGATATGCGCTTAGTTTTACAAGTTTAAATTGGTGGCAATAGCTGCAATTTCATAAATATTCTAAGAAATGTGTTAACCTTGACTCATCATAGCTTCTCCAAACAGATTTTACTCAAGCACAACTTAACCTCAGCTAGAATTAAGTGCCCGCAAACCACTTGAGAAACATTAAAGCGTCAAATAATAAAGAACAAAGTACAACCCCAATCACACTCTTTGCAAGACTAAAGCCAGTATTGTTTCTTCAATCCTACCTAAGTAAGTTCAAACAGAACAAACCTTAAACCAGGCCACAGATATTTTCCAACGCACACAAAAGTCAATTAACACTGAAATAAGACAGTTAAAAAGGTAATGTTGAGTTAATAGCTTCAGAAATTACAGCTCAAATGAGAAATGCCAAGCTGCCCACAATTGAATGATTAACTGTTTTCATCTCCCTATAAGAGAAGAATTTGCTCAATTATTAAAGTTGAAATGAATTAACTCTGGAATTTTCCCAGGGGCCGTCTGTCTCTATTTTGCACATTTTGTGGTTCGGATTCTATCTTACTGAGTGTGAGTTTCAATGTCACAAAGCAGTTCCAATGATACTTCTCCACAGAATGCTTCAGGCGAGGCTGTGAAAAAGTCTGCTCCTAAACGTGCCGGTGTTTAAACTCCACACGAGTATTCACCCATTCCTTACTCTGCTCTTATATATAAGTCATTGGTTGATAAAACAATTTGAGTTATCTTCTAAATATATCCAATTTCCATTAAATTCTGGGCAAACTGTCAAATTTTGTGATTCACATCGATAAGAAGTTTTGAAACCACATAGAAACTAGAAATTAGTTCCTGGAGGAACTAATACCTTTGGTTTTAAACGTTGCTGCAGAGAGAAATATCTGAACTACAGATGTTTGCCGCACAGGATAAACCAATTAAATGCTCGGAGGACAATCATTTGGTCACCCAGTTTCAGGCCTGGCGGAGTGGGGAAACCCTACAAATCTGCACTGCAGGATGTGTTTCACTATAAAACTTAAATTTCTTCCCTTAAATCAATATTAGGCAGCAGATTATCAAACTTCAAAAGAGGAATCAACTGTGATTTCTGCACTATTTTCCAAATGGAATACTGTATTTTCACAACTGCACTACTGCAAACACTAGCAGATGTAATGATAATAATCCTCTGAATTTGATATAGCACCTTATCACATCTTCAGGACATCTCAAAACGCTTCACAGAATATACTGTAAAGTGAATTGACTGTATATTTTGTGGGAGAAACATAACAAGTAGGCTGGTTG